ATAAGCTCCGGTCGACAAAGTCGACAGCGGACTAAACAAGAAGCTTACGTAGATAACTCAAAATTCTAGTGTGCGTTTCAGACTAATGTTGATAGAAGTACTTTAAATAGAATAATAATTTTGAAATATAACTCATTTTCATTTATCAAATGTTGCATGTCACTTGGTAACTTGTCGGCACATGGAGTATGTTTACCTTGTCTCCGACCACCTTGTGTACTGGATGCTGGTTGTGATGTTGGACTTGTGTCTGTTCTTTCGGCAGCACGCTTTGCCCATATATTCTCCACTGGGGCTGGTGCATCCACTAATTCTTTTTTTGATGCTGACGAAGGAGAGTCCCTTGGCGGCGTGGAATTAGGAGAATCACGTGGACGACTCTCCGTATCTGATGTTGATGACCTATGTTCCCTGCTACGTGGTTTTTGCCAAGGGTTATCTTTTGGAGGTGGAGCTGGGACAACTTTCTTTAGGTCTTCTGTCTGTTTTGGGGATTCAGGCTCCTTATCCTCTTTAAAGACATTATCATTTTCAACTGAGCGTTCACTATCTTTTCTTGTGCGCATAACTTTAAGACAAAAAGCATTATAATTTGCATGAAATGCAGGATTCAGTAATTCCTGACTTGAATTCATGATTTAATTGGATGTGGTCACTACAGCAGTGTACATTATATATGGGTCTTATGACATGTGCAACAATACATGCGCAAATGAATTGCTTTATTTACACAAACTTCATTGTACTTAAGTCAATGACTGCCATCCAAAAAGCACTACCAGAAGCAGATATTCTTAGTTATAGTTACCTGGCTTCGGTCCACCTCTTCCGGATCCAGAACTACTGTGTCTTGTCCTCGAACTCGTTGAGCCCCTACCTTCGTCTGATCTATCACTGTCTCTTCTCTGTCGAATATCTCGCCAACTGTCTTGTCGGCTGGAGAAGTTAGGTTTGAACAACATTAATAATGTGCGCAATACAAACAATATAATAGTTTACTCCTTTAAAGGGTGATGGTCGTTGTACCATGTCTTTTCGAAACAGGACTCATAGCGATGTACACATATGTAAAAATACACATGCTGCATGACGATCACCGCCCTTTAACAATAATAATTGGATAGACTAAACTTTAATCACTAGAAGTTGTATAGTAACAGAGGGCAGCAAAGTATGCATCCAGCCCATAGT